GTAACCTCATGAACTTCTTAGTGAACCAACGCCACAAGAAGGATATACTCTTTCCCTATAACTTCAAGTGAGTGTTAATCATGTCGATCATATCCTTAATGGCTCATATGTTGATTCTAGTTAATTAATGAGTGTTATGCGTTATATCCTATAAACACATGCAGCAATCACTGGATATTGATGGACATCGATCTGGTGAAAAGTCACTTGATAATCTATGACTCGATGAGAAAACCACAACAAGACTACCAAGATATGATAGATATTATCCAGAGGTAATTTCAGGATCTCTAGCAACTATATATACACAAAAACATGATGATTAACTATATCGATGACGTGGCAAATTTTTTATTAGGCGGTGTTTGGAAAACCTTTATTGAGAAGCAACACATGGAAAAATGCAAAGCGCCATTGAATGTAATCCCTTTGAAAGTAAGTCCCCTGAATCGCATCATCTTTATTAATTAAACATATAGCTTTCACGGATCACCAGATTGGATGACAAATCTTTTTCTCGTAAAGTGGTGTCTAAGGCAGGAACAGGGGAACAACTACTGTGGTTACTATGTTTGCAAGTTTATCAAGGTGCTCTCCCAAAGAACTCCTACTGAGAGAGACTCAAAATACGTTAAAAATACACTATATATTCATTTAATTATTATTATTGATTGTGTTTATGTCTTTATATATATATATATGTACATATATTAATTTATTTTCTTTAATTCAAACCCTGTAGACTCGATGGTTGGAGGAAAAGATCATACTGGCAAGACTAAATCAAAGCAATTCAAGAGTCTATAGGGATTTTTTAATGAGCAGGTCATCGATTCCAAGGGCGAGTTCTACCGACCCAACACCGCCATTGAAGCCAAGCTAGAGGATGAGAGGAAACTTGTTATGTCACAACAACTGTAATGCAATCTTTTGTAATATATGCACATAAAATAATATAATGTAAAATACACATATGCATGCATGCATTTAATATATATATGATGCATGCATTCATATATATATATATATATATATATATATATATATTTCTATGCTTGAATTGTGTGATTTAATACGTTCATTGTGCTTGAACCCAAACATACTATATGCGCGTATAAATGTATAATTAGCAGCGTACAATACGACTTCGAAAACCTATTTTGAAAAGAAAACAAAAAAATGAAAAGAAAAGAAAAAAGAAAAAAATCTTTAGTCCCGGTTCGTATTACCAACCGGGACTAAAGGTGCCGGCCATCGTGGCATGTCAGGAGGCACCTTTAGTCCCGGTTGGTGTTACCCACCGGGACTAAAGGTCCTCCTTTAGTCCCGGTTCCTGACCCGGGACTAAAGGACCCCCCTTTAGTCCCGGATGCTTGCTCCCAGGTGGGGAACCAGGACTAGAGGGGGTTCCCCACCGGGAGTAAAGCTCAGTTCTCTACCAGTGTTAGTGCTGCAGTAGAAGCAGGTGCCATGTCAGCGTGGTCGGAAGGCGCACCCGTGCCGATCTCCTTCGGCTTAGTCTACACAATTAACTTCGATGATGTGTTAGTACATACGTATCTTAATTTACTGCAAGTGGCTTGACCTTGATTTCGACCACGTGCAGTATATGTATATCATCAGTTTTCTTATTTGGCCTGTCGTCTAATCCTGATTCCTGCGCCATGGACAGATGCAAGTTAGGGATGGGTTACCAGCTTTGGTAGACTCTTTGTGATAGTGGTGGCAAGCATTTTTTTTTTGGTGCGAAGAAAGCAATTGCTATTTAAACTAGTGGCAGTGTTATGTAAAAAAAACTTAGAGGCTCAATCAACATTGCGTTTTTCTTAGTATCACACTTCTATAAATATGATCTTTAGCAGCGGCAGGCAATTAGCTAGGAGCCAGTCTCTAAAAATGATTTCCCGAAACGAGCTGCCTCTAGAAATCTTTCATCCACATCTAAAAATGCTCTATTTTTTGAGGTGGCTCTAGATGCAACCGCCTCTACAAATGGATTTCTAGAGGCGGCTGCATCTAAGAGCTCCCTCTAGAAATCTATTTGTAGAGGTGGTTGGATATAGAGTCGTCTCTAAAAATAGGTGAAACACCATAAAATTTGAATTTTTAAAATGGTCTCAGATGAAAAAACAACCAAAACCAAAGTTTATATCTCAAATTAGTTTAAAAAAAAGTTTAGATCTCGAAGAGTTATACAACTTTGTAGTTGACAACTTTTCTCATTTGAAATCATCCGACCAGGGAAAATTACTTTTGAATTTCTCACATTTGAAATTCAAAATTTTCAAACGACCTCGGATGGAGAAACGATCATAACCAAAGTTGTAAATCTCGATGATATCTACAACTTTGCAGTTGAAAACTTTTTCATTTGCATTCGTGTAGGGTCTCATATGGTCATTTCAAAATCGGATGGAGAATACGAGAAGAATGAATATCTCATATGGACACAAGTGACTTTTGGGTGGGTGGAGTGGTTATGGGAGATATGCGTGAGGCTGTAGGTTGTAGGTTTGTTCCCCTTCGGCTGCGTTTTTTGCACAAAAAATCACCTGACTTGTGGCTGCCTGGTGGGGTCTCCCTGTATAATTTTTAGCTATTTTGGTGAGAATGACAACCGCCTCTACAAATCATCGATTTATAGAAATAAAAAAGTAGAGGTGGTTGGGCCAACCGCTTCTATAAATCTTGCCCGTAGTAAGTGTATTCAATATTTTTCTCTAGGCTATGTGTATGGCTCCGATCCTTATGTGAAATAGGTAAGTATCTTTAAAATTGATGCAACAATCTTTTATTCATTACTTCATAATCTCTAGCTAGCACCATATCAGTTACACCATTAACCAGTTCAAAGTTAAGAACAATCAATCACACTGGTTTTCTTTGGTGATCAATGGCCAGAGTTAAATTACGCCACCATACCATTTTTGTCAACGTTCCGCATCAGGCACACATTCCTACTCTTCTCATTCTAATCATTTTTCATACTTAGTTCATGCACAATAGTTTGAGATGCAAATAGTGAAATTATGGAACTGCACGTTAATTATATGCTCATGCTAACTTTCAATCTCAACAAACAAAGTAAGGGGTTCTGGCTTGTTGCTGAAAATTTTAGACAACTTTATTCTTTACGTATCAAAAAGCTTGAGAGATATGCACATGTCTGCTATGCTCTTGTATATATTATTTTGTAATATATGTTAACATCAAAAGGTTCAATCAATTAATTGGTATGTGGTTATGAAGAAATCACATACATGAAATGGTAACGGTCAAGTTTGACATCCCTATCAATTGAATTGTATCAGTCCAAGCATTGCATGAAATGGTCAATTCATCACATGTCTATACTGATTTCAAATAAGAATGTCCACATCATCACTTGAAGTTAAGCTTACATATACCATCTTGAGTACTAAAGCTCCATTAAGGTCACAATATAGATTACAAACATATATAACGCCATATGATGTTTTTTTTTTGCTGACATGCTGTTCTCTGTATCCATATATATGATCCCCAACAAGCTAGGACACATTTGATTCAACAATTTAGAATTTTTTCATTAGTTTTGAAACAATAATAATAATATTAATTATAGCTTATATTTGTTTAACATACATGAAAAAGATTGTCATTAATATCTAGTGTATTAAACAAATATTTGGAGGAGTTTGTAAAAGGGGGCTTAAGAAGTGTGGGAAATTCATGGAAATAAGCGATCCATGTATCTAAACAATGAATAGTCTTTAGGTCTCCTAATATATATAGTTCTTTTTATTTTTTAATTTCCTTTTTGATGATGGTTGATGTTGGGTTTCAGCTCTATCTTACCCCAACTTGTTTGGGAGACTAAAAGGTTTCATTGTTGTGTTTTTACCCTTGTTGATTAAGATAGCAAATATTTCCATTTTAAAGATTGACGTGAATGCTTTATTTGGCTTGCTTGCACAACATAGATATTCAGACTCTATTGATATAGAAAAACTCATCTAATAGTAACATTTATGTTTATTGCTTGTAAATGAGTCAACATATCTATCTGAAGAGATATGCTTCTGTAGAGAAATTTTTTGAATTTCCTTATTATAAATTAATGGAAAGAAAAGGTCGCCATATGAATAATATCTGTACTTTTCATGTAGTTCCTAAATCTTGTAATATTTTCTTCGTTTTCTCCACAAATTTCTTGTACAAGAAAGCCAGCCCTATACATGCAGATATGGAGAATGATGATGCGTGCATCTACAATCCACTCTTGCAATGCCTCTTGCATCACGTTAAAAAACATGGACATGCATGTTTTTTGAAAAAAAGTCCACTTTATGTCCTAGGCTCCTAGCCGTTCCTTTTTTGTGCATTGAAATTAGATCAAATCATACTTAATGAAACATGTCTTCTTCTCTTGTTGTAGAACTTGTGTTTCGACTGAAATTAATTTGTGAGGTTGATAGTTGTCATACCCCGTGTTACAAAAAATAAGAAATTTTGCAATTATTTTTTGTCAGTTCAAAGTATTTTATGTTACTTTAATCCTGATATATAAATACACATGAAAATAACAATAAAAACCATATACATAAGTTTCTAACATAGCCTATGGTCTCGTATATATGTCGTCCAAGGATTTTGAACCTTGAAACACACCTGTAAGAGGAAAAATCGAAAGCGGCAATCGATTTCATTAGAGGGTGAAACAAATGTGAATAGTTTGGAAGTAAATTGAGTAAATATTTTGTACAATGTCCAAATGGATAAAATGCATTGTTCGAGTAGTACGATAGACTTTTATTATTTTTTCTTGTGTGTGTATATATAGAATGAATATCCTTCCAATATATTCTATCACACTGATTGTGTAGTACACACAAATCCCATGTCGTTAATGCATGTTATCATATTACCTTAACCTCATAATCCCAAACAATTTCTCTCTATATATACCCCCATTGATTCATGTCCATACAACCAGATCAAAGAAACTATCACTTCTCATCATGGCAACTATCAATGACCATTGCTGGCCAGAACCCATTGTACCTGTACAAACCCTTTCAAACTCTGGTGTGCCCACCGTGCCACAACAATACATCAAACCTCCATCTGAGCGTCCTTGTGGTAGCATAACTAGCATGCATTCTCCTGATCTTAGCATCCCTATCATTGATCTTGCATGCTTCTATGATATCTCCGAGCATCGCCAAGCGGTGCTAGAAGCAATCGGTGAAGCATGCAGGAACTAGGGATTCTTCCAAGTAGTGAATCATGGTGTGGGCATCGATTCAGTAAAGAGGATGAGAGAGGCATGGAGGGAGTTCTTTGACTTGCCTATGGAAGAGAAAAAATTATATGCAAACTCACCGGTGACATACGAGGGCTATGGGAGCCGCCTTGGAGTTGAGAAAGGTGCAACCTTGGATTGGAGTGACTATTACTTCCTAAACCTCCTGCCAAATGATATGAAGAACCTTGAGAAGTGGCCAGAGATGCCTCGTCACCTGAGGTAATACGTGAATGAGACGATTTGATATCTAGCTTAATTTAACTTTCTCTTCTGCAATTTATTTATTATGCATGGTGTCTACCATATCTTTTGTTATGTTAACTGTGTGATCCAACTTAGAATCAGATGTCTTTTGCTTCTTTTTCTTATTACCAGATGTATCGGTGTGCAATAATTCAACTTGATCAAAGCCAAGTAGCTTGAAATACAAAATTAAAAAACTAACTTCTATACGATTACGCCGTGCGAGATGAGTGAAAGCCCTTACATATATATGAATCGTGAATGAAAGCTCATACATATGTCAAGAAACTTATGTCTCTTTGTATGTATGTGCAGGGAGGTGACTGAGAAGTATGCATCCGAGCTAAAGAATCAGAGTGAAGTACTGCTCAAGGCCATGTCAAGCACCTTAGGATTAGATGAGGACTACCTTCACATGTCCTTTGGTGGAAGTAAGGGCATCTCAGCAAGCATGCGTGTAAACTACTATCCAAAGTGCCCAGAGCCTGAGCTGACCCTTGGCCTCTCCTCTCACTCTGATCCTGGCGGTATCACCTTGCTCCTTGTTGATGAAAATGTCAAGGGGACGCAGGTACGCAAGGGGAACACATGGGTCACGGTGCAGCCGATCCCGGGTGCCTTTGTTGTAAACGTTGGAGATCAAATTCAGGTTATATTAACCCTATATTATATCCCTGTTATTATGCTTATATTTTTATACATATACTAGAGGGAAAATTGTTGTTTTTGCGTGAAGTAGTAGCTTTATTATCTTTACATCAAGTATATATAGCGGTAGTATGTAAGAGTTGAACACAGCATGGAGCTGACGTGCGCATCAGGCTGATGGACCGTGAAATAATCAAAAGAAACTGAATAGTGTAACCCATAGTACTGCATATGCTTTGCAAACATTCAAATGCATGCGTACACAGTTACATAAGCATGTATGCCGCATGCACTACTATTTTTTTTTTGTGTGTGTATATATATACAGTGGCGGCGGATGCACGATGCGGGATAAGGGGGCTAAAACAATGGAGATGTTAATTTGCATGAAGATTTAATGATGAAATCAAGCTTTTGCTACAGTGATTAAGCTTGAAATAAGACATTAGAGGGGGCTGGAGCCCCCCAGCTCCCTTTGGATCCGCCACTATATATATATATATATATATATATATATATATATATATATATATATATATATATATATATATATATATATATATACACACACACACACACACACACACACACACACACTAGCTAGTACTCGATCGATGCAATATACTTATATGGTGGATGATGCATGATACACGATGATGCATGATGCATGCATGGATATGGAACAGATCTTGAGCAACGGCGCGTACAAGAGCGTGGAGCACCGCGCGCTGGCTAGCTCCGGCGACGACCGCCTCACCATCGCCTTCTTCTGCAACCCTTGCGGCGACCTCCCCATCGCGCCGGCGGCTCAGCTGGTGGGCCCCGAGTCGCCGGCGGTGTACGGTCAGCCGGCCATCACCTTCAACGAGTACCGCAAGTACGTGCGCACCAAGGGCGCCCGAGGCAGGGCGCAGGTGGAGTCCCTCTCTAGCTGCAACACCAGCATCACCATGAATTAACCTAGCTGCACGCGAGCAAGAGAGATGGGAATAAAGTGCATGCAGCTAGTTGACCTATAGCAACTATCTTCTGTATCTTATTATTAAGTATGTTTGCCCATGTATGCATATGCTTGCAGCTAGCGTGTTTGCATTGTGATGCCAGAATAACACCAGCTACTCAGCTAATCAGCTTGCCTGTAGTGCTGAAACTGCAGATAGTCATGTGTTAATATAAGTTGTGACTAGCTAGAAATCATCGATTGGTTTGTACGAATTTCAGTCGGTGTGGTTGATTGCAGTAACCATGTATGTACAAGCATGCATTTCTATTCAATAACAAGTCCTCAGCTCGTGTGTAGTTTGGAACTTTATTTTAGTTTGGATTTCAATTGTCTGTAACTCACATGATGATATGTAGCTCACGAAACGTGATAGAACGGGCTATATAGGACCTGAAAATGGCAAGACGAATTTATCGTTTGAGGCTCTAGACGAATTCAAATGAAAAAGTTATTAACTATGAAGTTTTATAACTCTTCGAGATCTATAACTTTCATTTTGGTAGTTTCTCCATCCGAGGTCGTTTACAAAATTTGAATTTCAAATTTAAGAAATTCAAACGTAGCTTTTCTTGACAAGATGATTTCAAATAAAAAAGTTGTCAACTACAAAGTTTTATAACTTATCGAGATCTACAACTTTCATTTTTGTTGTTTGTTCATCCGAGGTCATTTAAAAAATTCAAATTTTAAATTTTTGGAAATTCAAATATAGTTTTCCTTGACGAGATGATCTCAAATGAGAAAGTTGTGAACTACAAAGTTTTATAACCTTTTGAGATCTACAACTTTCATTTTGATAGTTTCTCCATCTGAGGTCGTTTGAAAAATTTAAAATTCAAATTTGAGAAATTCAAACGTAGTTTTTTCCTTTACAAAATGAATTCAAATAAAAAAGTTGTCAACTATAAAGTTCTATAACTTTCTGAGATCTGCAACTTCTATTTTGGTCATCTGACGTAGTGATAGTAACATTGTTCATAAATTTTACATATACCTCTTATAGTTTATGGAACTATAAGAATATGGAACTATAAGAGAAATTTTGTGAACAATGATACTACCACTTTGTCGGATGAAGAAATGATCAAAATAAAAGTTGTAGATCTTTATGACTTCTACAACTTTTATGTTCATAACTTTTTCAGCTAAAATCATTTAATATTTCAAAATGACGTTTGAAGTTGCCATTTTTTAAAATTTAAATAGATAAAACATAGTCACATGAAAAGATAGACAAAATAATAGCTCTAAAAACACAATAAATTGATAGAGCATGATTTGAGAAAATTTTAGGAAAAAAATCATCAAATTTGAAGTTAGTACGAGTGAGAAACACTAGTTATAAGTTTTGGCTGGAGATTAAAAAGAGAAATCAGTGTTGTTCAATAATTTTAAAATTGAATTTTAAATAGAATTTTAAAGTAGTAAATGATTTCAAATGAAAAAGTTGTAAACAACAAAGTTTCGTAACTTTTTGAGATCTACAACTTTTATTTTGGTCATTTCTCCATCCGAGATCGTTTGAAAAAATTCAAATTTTAGTGCTTAATTTTTACTATTTGGCGTCTATTTGTAGGAGCCGCTCAAAATTTAGCCGCCCCTACAAATTCGATTTGTAGAGGTGGCTGATAACACCAGCAACCCATACAAATGGATTTATAGGGACGGTTCGTTTGTGCACCATTTGTAGAGCCAACCCTAAAAAAAAAAGCATGGCTACAAATCCCTTTTTAGCGGTGAAACTATCTAGAAAATTGTTTTGTTAGTTAAAAACATCGTCTTGTATGCTTGAACGATGCATCCAAGTTGGCTAGAGGACCTAGATTGACAAAAGGTTAGAGGCGGAGGGCTTAATATAGTGAGGTGCGACTTTTTTTATAATAATACGATCTGTATTTCTAAGTAAGGAAAACATACAGGGACGTGTACAAATATAGGTATGTACGATCAGGATATAGGGACAGCTGTCCCAACCGACTTGCACAAAGGCCCCTAAAGAAAATAGAAATTACATTAAGGTCCTTGGACCATGTGCTTCTCGAAAACTCCAGAGGTCTCTGTCGCCAACTGCTGCCACCGACGCCGAAGCCGCCATGGCCCTAGATCAAGAGAAGCTCCTTTGCACAAAGGCTTTGACATGAGCCGCGGTAGATGAAGCCATTGCTGCAAATCCATCGGCCGGGGACGCACTCCAAGCTTCTCTGACCCTTGATCGAAGCTCGCCATCAACCGCCGTCCGACGCCGAGGGGACCATGAGCTCGATCCTCTCACCTTCCAACCGCTGTACCCACAGCCTCCTCTGCATCCATGAAGATTAGAGCCACTGGAACCGCACCGGCCAGCTCCGACTCTTGTACAGCTCTCCGTGACCTCGCCGTTGACGCCGGAGTAGAACGTCACCGGGGCGAGGAAAAGGCCAGGAGAAGTTATTCTCCTGCGCCGTCGCCGCCTCCGCCTCGTCGACGTCGCCAGGAAAAGCAAGCCGCCGAGGATTGTCACCCCCCCGGCAAACCCTAGCTCTCACCGACGAGAACCGACGGTGAGCACAACCTAGGACTAGATAGATAACTAGCTAACCTATGTACATCCGCATGCTGATTCCCCGGTCCACCTCCATCTCTAGCGCCTAACCGGCCGCCGGAGAGGGAAGGGGCTGGCGGAATCGCCGCCGGAAACTCTCGTCATCTCCTTTTCGTCTTGGACAACTGTAGCAAGGGGAAAAGGAAGAGAGCTGGGAGTGGGGTTTTTGTGAGGTACGGCGCTTGCCATACCTTTTTTTTTTTTTGAAACTTCCATACCTTGATTTTGGTCTGAGAAGAGGCAAGGAAGAAGAGAACGTGCTGGGTGAACCGTTATTGCCCTTTGGGCTGCTAATATTTTTCTTTGGGCCACTCATTTTGTTTTCTTAATGGGCCAGGCAGTAAGCGTTCTGCTCATGGCAGCTCTTCCTGTCCGTCCAATAGCCATCTGCCCATCTGCTGTTCTGCACCGATCAAAAGCATGCTGTAGCTACTCCAAAAAAAAAGCATTGCTGTAGCTTTTTTTCCATCCTTATTTTTCTTTCATTTAATAATAAATATAACTTGTTTCGCTAAATTAGAACTTTTAGCCGGAAAGGCTCTGATAATAAAAAAAAAGTATTGTATGGATTCATTCTGTTAGATTCAAGTCAAACTAATTGCATCTCACATTCCTGGTTTCTGCATGCACTGTACTTTACTCAGCTGAGATCTTACTGAGCATCTAAACAGGTAGAGCTGTTGTAAGCATCTAGCTATCAAGTAATACTGTGAGATACAATTAATCTGTTATAAATAACATGAAAGATTCAGCAGTATAGTACAATACCTGCAAGCAGGGAAATGCAAATTTTTAGTTAATAGGAGGCAAGCAAAGAAATTTTTGAATGAAAATTTAGAAGGCACATAGACTGGCACAGTGTGATCCCCTCAGCACCCTGGTTCATCTCGATTGTGCCGATGATGATGATCAAATCCTTTTTCTTTTCCTGTGATAATACGTGGTTCAATTATAAGGTAAGTAAGTTGTGTCTTTATGAACTGAGCAAGTAATATTTGCATTTGTTTGACGCGAAGTAGGACTGCACCAAGGCATTTTTTTTGAAGGAAACAGGAGGGGCATGCCCCTACTAGAATTAAATAAAAAGCTGCAAAAAAGCAGATAAAAGAACATTTATAGAGTGGGGGGAGGGAGCTGAGCAGAGCAGTTTAGGATACAAAGAAGGAAATAAAAAAAAGAAAAGCAACTACAAGCCGGATCCAAGCTAAGTAAGATTGACAATCCATTGAATTATCCGGGGAGAGTAGCTTCTTTTGGCTCTCAGAAGCAGAAGCTGGAGCTCTTGTCTGAAATGGTATTTGGACTGCTAAAGAGTTGGGTTAATCTGGCGGAAGATCAAGTCATTTCGCACTTTCCAAATTGTCCAGCTCATCAAAATGATTACCTCCATGAAGAAGGCCAGAAGGGGGACTTGAAGCTGATCCTTGAAGCTTTGGAGGTTTTGAAAAGGGTCTAAACTTGGGTCCACCTGAATGTTTAACCAGGCCCAGCATTGTGTAGCAAAAGGGCAAGATAGGAATAGGTGTGTCAAGGACTCTTCTGTAGCACCATTATTGCACAAAACACAGTTAAAATCCTGCAGTGTCATGTTCTTTCTCTTTAGTAGCTCTCTAGTGCTTAGCATGTCCTTGATCAGTAGCCAGAAGAACACTTTGTGTTTGTTTTGGCAGGAGCTCCTCCAAATCCATCTGTAAACTGGGCGAGCTAAATGTCCACTCAATTGCTTGTATGCTTTATTCACTTAAAATTGATTTGAATTCCAAATGTATGTCCAATTACCCAGGCCGGTACTTTGATTTGAATTCCAAACTTGTATAGGAAGCTACAATATTATTGTAAACTTACTCTCTGCCAATCATGTGCACCGAAAGTTCCATTTGCCTCGTAGTGCAAGTGTTATGTAAGAGTGTATATAAAAATTAAAACTTGAACCAAACAAAAATAATAATTAGATGACCATGTATGCTACTCTCTCTGTTCTAAATTATAAAATGTTGTGTCTGTTCTGGATATATTACTTTTGCTATATACTTAAATATATAATATATCTAGATATATAGTAAAAGATATGTGTAAAAAACCCAAAACATCTTACAATTTAGAACGCATGAAGTATAAAAGAATAAGGCATTATATTACTAGGGTAACATTGACTTTATTTTTGTTCTCTATCTCGTTCATTTAATTTTTGCGTGAATTATAACTCAGTCTCATCCCATGCGTGTGTTTGATTTGTCATTACTAAATGCTGGCACATCATTATCATATCTCGTGAAGGATCGAGTCTGTACGTTTTTACAGAAGTACATCTATGGGCCGTACATTTTACTCTTTTGACAAAAAAAGAACCTAGTGAAGTACTCGCTCCAGTGGAT